GTTTAAAAACGCCATACTTCCCTAAAACACTCGTATTATCTCGTAATAATGAGTTATTGACGTGAATCAAGAACTTTTGTATCAAGAAGGGATCACACTTCAATCCGAAGCATAATGAAGCAATGTTCAATCACGCAATTTTGCCACAGGATGTTGAGAAGTATATGATGATAGAGGAACTTTGGTTTCTCCTTGTTCAAAAATACAAGGAGCTCAGAAAGCAAGCAGTTATATCTAGATCTAAAGAACTACCTTTCATTTGCTATCAGTCAAGAAAAGAAAGTTTATTTGAACCTCGAAATCAATAAAATAAATAATAATGCTAAGAAACTTTGGACAAAGTTCAAGGATTGGGGAATAAATTCCAAATCGTATGATGAAATACCTCCTCATTTAAAAAATGTAGATGAAATTAATAATAAATTCTCGAATTAGACTCATTTGACCCACCCTATAAGCAACAATGTTAATGACTTTTATAATAACAATACTTACAATGAAAATAGGTTTCAATTTAAAGAGGTTACAGAAGAGAACATACTCGCTTCCTTCAAGAGTATTAGATCAAAATGTAAAGGAATTGATAATATTGACTACAATATGTTAGAATGGAGTTTGCCGTATGTAATATCAATATTGAAAGATCTGATAAATGAGTCACTTGTAACAGGTACATTTCTAAACATATATGGAAGACAGCTATTATCAAGCCTATCCCAAAAATAAATAATCCATATACTTATGATGAACTTAGGCCAATCAACATATTACCAATACTATCAAAAATGTGTGAAAAGATAGTTTTAAACATGATTAATGAATATCTTAACATTAATGAGATACTACCTACTATACAATCTGGATTTAGATCTGGTTTCAGCACCTCAACAGCACTATCAAAAGTAACATCAAACATAGCAGAAGGAATTGACAAATCACAGTCGTCATGTTTAGTATTACTAGATTATATAGCAAAGCATTTGATCTCCTAAACCAAGACTTGATGATTTCCAAACTACACTTTTATGGATTTGGGGAATCTGAGTGTCTATGGTTCACAAGTTACTTGAAAAACAGAAAGCAGATTGTTGAGGTGGATGATATTAGATCTGATCCAGCATTTATCAATCTAGGTGTACCACAAGGTAGCATACTAGGGCCTATACTGTTTTGCATATACACAGCCAACATTACCTCGGTAGTGAACCATTGCAAATTACACCTTTATGCAGATGACACACAAGTGATAAAAACTTTCGATCCAGTAGAGGCTAGTGAAACATTATACCTAATAAATGAAGATCTCGACAGAATAGTTGACTGGTCAAATGATCATGGACTAAGACTGAATCCAACAAGAAGCTGTTTCCTAATTATTGGCTCAAGTACAATCAAGCATAAATTCTTTCAGCACAACTTCACTACTTCACATATCAAAAACAATGAAATACCCTATAAGGAAAGTGCTAGAAATCTAGGACTGATATTTGATTCCAATTTTAATTTTGAACCTCATGTGAACAAAAAAATATCACTAATGTATATGAAGCTGAAGTCAATTCACAAATTTAAATTCATGTAAAAACTTCACAAACGATAAGATTTCCACAAAATTTATTAAACACACGACATGTTTCGCTAACACAGTAGCTTCGTCAGGTGATATACTGGTACAATGAACTGAACTGAAGTTCATTGTACCAGTATATCACCTGACGAAGCTACTGTGTTAGCGGAACATGTCGTGTGTTTAATAAATTTTGCGGAAATCTTATCGTTTGTGAAGTTTTCACATTTATCATGGATTTCCATCAAGTAACGGCCGAGTCAATTCAAAATTTAAATTCATATTGGATAAACGAATCAAATTGAAATTAATCGAAAGTCTATTATTTCCACAAATAGATTACTGTATCACAATTTATTATAAGTTTTTAACAAAAGAATATAAAACCAAATTACAACTTTCACAAAATGCCTGTATCCGATATGTACACAACATTTACAAATATGATCATAGAACCCCTGTATATAACAGCAACAACATCCTGAAAATTGAATATCGTTATCAACTACTATTTGGAGTATTTTTAAAAAAAATCATAGATGATAATAAACCAGCATATTTAGGAGATCTTCTAACTCCACGTCATGAACTGCATAATCAGCATAACCTTAGGAACATTATAAGATATAACATCCCACAGCACAATACCACCAAATTTGAATACTGTTTTGCCTATGTATCGATAGAATTTTTGAATAATCCAGAATACTATCTTAGAACTCAGAACAGATCTGTAGCTAGCTTCAGAAGAATATGGAGAGACTACCTTTTAAGTATTCAGACATAGAATGTGATAAAAACTTAGTCAAAAGTATATATTAATTAATTAATTAACTCTATTTTATTTTATTTTTTTTATATTCAAGACATTGTTGTTTTCGTTAGTGTTTTTATGAATGTTAACCATCTAGATTTTATTATTTTGAGCTTTTTACTCATAACGAGTGGTTGTATGGTAGAACGTGTAAACGAATGCCACCTTTTGTGTAGTATATTCATATTATATTTTATGATGTAAGATATTTACACAATAAATGTTTTTCTATTCTATTCTATTCTAATGATCAAGTCATCAGCTTTTTAGGAAAACTTATATTTAGGCTAACATTCCGGAACATGAATCTACGACTTGATCAGAAAAATTAAAAAGCACCTTCTCTGCAGGATTCGATGAAATCCCTTGTTTTTTGAATGAAAGAATATTAAACTCTATTTTTCCACCTCTGACACATTTGAATAATATTTAATCTTGCAATGGAGTATTTCCTGAGTATATAAAAAAAAAGTAACCCCTGTCTATATAATGGGAGATCGTCAAAATGTTGAAAATTATCGACCAATCACTGTGATGCCTTCAGTATTCTCGAAGATTTTCGAATACTGTTATTTACAGAGGCTGAATGTATATCTTACTGAACATAAAATAATTTCAAAGAATCAGTATGGCTTCCACACTTCACGATGTGCAACTGATGCAGGTCAGTCATCTTATACCACTCTAGATGATATAATCAGCATAGGCGAGAGCCCTGTAAGCATCTTCTGTGACCTCAGCAGGGCATTTGACTGTGTTGATTTGTTTAATAGTCGAACAAATTAAATGATATTGGGATACAGAATCGAGCCCTTGACTAGCTGAAAACATTCATAATTGCGAGGAAACAATATGTAAGTATAAATGACACCTCTGGAAATTGTACAAGAAGCTATGCCTCAGGGGTCAGTTTTAGGGCCAATCTTGTTTTTATCATATACAAATAACATTGAAACAGTTTCACCAGAAGTTTCCTTGAAGCTCTATGCTGATGATACTTCGCTCATAATATCAGACAAATCTGATGAATTTTCACAAAACAAATGTAATAAAGTGTAACATGATCTTAATGCTACATCGCGTACATCTGTGAAATTTCTAGGTATTTATATTGATGAATCGCTAACATGGAAGACTCAATGTGAGAACGTTATTTCTAGATTGAGATATAAACATATTCGATCATTTCTATTTGTAATCCAATTGACAAAGTTATATTATGCTCAAGACGAGTCACGGCTACGTTATGGAGTTGTGTCATATGGGGAGGATCTTCTTTATCCAGAGATGTCTTTATCACCCTCTGAAGAAATTAATGTGAACCATTGCTGGTGTGTCTCGTACAACAAGCTGTAGAGACATTTTTCGAAAATTTTCAATATTAAAATTACTGTTCTATATATATCAGAATCATGTGCGTATGCATTCGCAAAACCAGAACGAATTCTTGAAGAATGGTAATATTCATTACTTATATACAAGACAGAAAATGGATTTTCGCATACTCTATTGCCAAAATATATCATAATATAACTCAACTACCCCAGTCATTCGATTGTTGAAGTACTTTTTTTGCCTAGGCAGTAAAAGTACACTTTTTGTACCTGTCGAGTGTCATTAACCTTTTCGCGACGGGGATCGTTTGGCGCGCGTGAGCCACCACAACGGGGTTCGAAAGCGCGTTCGCATTCATGCGGTTCCCGTTGTTTGAGCTCATTTTCAGAAAATATTTCGCAATGATACATAATGAAAAAAACTCATTTTAATTTATAATTTAGTATATTTTGAACGCGAACAAGCCTATCAGTAAACAGTGAACACAATACAGAATGCCTAGTGGAGGGATGCCGCTTCCACTCGCTTCCCATCGTTGTAACATGTGTTGCTATCCGATCATAGACAACGCCAGAAGTGTACAAGAATCTCCGACCAAAACCATCTAAAGACGATGCAAATGGAGTGGATGAGACGATAGCGTGCGGTTCCCGTCGTTAGAACACTTCTCCGGTCGATTGAAAATATGCGGCTCCCGTGTATCAGATGCTTCAGTAAAATACGCATATATGCGTTTCCCGTCGCGAAAGGGTTAAAAAGCTACTTTCAATGCCATTAGGAGAAAATAGTTATTTGTATGCCTAGGCTGTGAAATAACTTTTGGGCGTGCATAAAAAAAAGTTTGCGCCGGGGCCGTTTACACAGTATTTGCAGTATTTGCAATCGTCAAAACTATAGAACTAGATAATCACAGATAAATAATACCTATCACTCTGAAATTAATAGCAGTTCAATTTATTTAACAAAGTCACAACGTTGAAATGGCATGTTTGAATGTAGGTACTCATACAAGATACTTTTTTGATATTTCTTGATGAAACGAAAACTCGATCCGTCAGATATTAGAAAATTGCAAGAATATTGTTATGAAAATTACTTACTTTCAATTCAATATTCGAATGATTTTTGCATTTCAGTATAGTGTCGTACATCAACGACTAAAAAAAGTCTTATAATGTCACTATAAAAATAGTTTTGTCATTATGCAAAAAGTTTGGAGCATATAAATCAACACATCTTTTATATCTGTGTATAGGTGTGAGTTCGAATCGATAACATCAAATTCAAGGTGAAAAATGCATTGTTTATTCAGATACTTGAGCATTGGATAAGTTCAGTTTGATTTCATTCTTAAAAGAGTTTATCAAATGAGTAGTGCTAAAAGATATTCAAATCAAATATACCTCAGTGTGTTGGGACTACGACTTTATTATCTAGTCCCAACAGGTGGATTTCTATGATGTACATATTATTATGCAGTGTATAAATAATATGTTTCTTCATTGATATATATGTCGGTGTCAATCTGTGAAATACGTCATTCCGTTCATTTCGTACACCGTTCCCCTAAATGTTTCAGGCATTTCCTGAAATGACGGAAGGAAGGTTTATGTAGGCCGAGTCAGGTTAGGTTGTTTAGAAAAAGTAGTCACTTTAGTTCTCTCAAATGATTTCACGAAAAATGTACTCTCTAGGAAAAAGGTTTATTTAGGCCGAGTTAGGTTAGGTTAGGTTTAGGAAAATTGGTATCATTTTTTATGCTTGTGTAGAAAGAATATTCTCCTTTCTCAACCAGCCGACAAACAGAGTAATGGCTGAACGTAGAGTTAAACTGTTTGCCTGCAATACGTCGAATGACTAGGAATTTCAAGGATTGACGGATTTCACTGATTGACGCCAACATATACAAGGAATTTCGAACTCGTAATGCACGATCGGTTGCTCCTCTATCAGCTGGTTCTACCGCTGACGTGAAAAATTATCCTGTATACGCAAAGTCCTGTATGTGATTTGAATATCTTATATAGCTCTACTAATCAATATAAATAAACACAGTTCAATAAAATCAATATATCGACATGTAGTTCATGAAAATGATGACAATCAGAGAGAGTATTTCAACAGTCACTAAAGAAAATTTCATGTTACTACAGCTGTATTATTATCACGGACTATTTTTCCTTCTCCCTTCAATAAAGATTGTATCTCATCGAGTGATTTTCCTTTTGTTTCTGGAATGAAAAAGTGAGTGAAAATGGCTACGAAAAAGCCCCAGCAGCCAAAGAAATAGAATGGAACATGTATTCCAAGAGGTCCAGCCATCCTTTGATAAATTTGGATACCCACAATACCACCGATAATGAACATGGCGTCTGCTATAGTCATACCAAATGCCTTCATATTCGAAGGAAATATTTCAGCTGTCACTATAATAGGTACCATTCCTACACCTATCTTGAAAAACGCTCCGTACACCATCACAGAAACAATTGGAATCCAACTCACAGGAAGAACATCGATTCCAGTAGACTTCAAATGGAAGTATATGGCGATAGCTAGCAAACACATAGCTGACGACACACTAGATATGATAAGCAAGACTTTCCTGCCATACTTGTCAACTTGCAAAGAGCTGAATATGGCTGATATCAGCATTATTCCAGCAAAAAGGATAGCTGCATGGGATGACTCCATGTAAATAGATCCAGCCGACTCAAGGATGATATGCAGATTCATAAGGATGACTGTGTATCCCAAGAGGTGTTGCCCGGTATTTAGGATAGTCATTATCACTATTGCTCTTCTGTTGCTTTTGACCAGTACGAGGTCTTGCATCCTTCCTTTGTCAGCCTTCTGCTTAGCCAGACTGGTACTGATCTCGTCGAGCTCTTTGTCGATATCGCAGTAAGGTTTGAAATATTCCAAAGCTTTCCTGGCTTCTTCCCTTCTGTTCTTGTACATCAAATAGTAAGGTGTTTCTGGCATGAACGTGAACACTGACAGCTGTGTTATTACAACAGCAGAGCCTATGAGTGGGGTGACGTAGAAAGGTGTGAACGGTCCAAAGCAGTATACCACTAGCGATCCGATGTGGACCATGATGTAGATGATGCCAGAAAGAAAACCTCTGATCTGTTGGTCAGCCATTTCCGCCATGTACATGGGAGCTGCAACAAAGGCCATGTCACCTGCCATTCCTGATAGAAATCTGGCGATGAAGAGGTAGAGCATTCGATCGGCGAAGGCGATTAGTACCCACGCTATGAAGATGGTGATGGAAGCGAAGAGCAGTGATTTCTTGCGGCCGAATCTGTCTACTGAATAGATGGTCAGAGGTAGACCACATAAGGCACCAATCAGGAGACATGTTTCTAGCCATTCTGTTTCGCTCTTCGTCGTTACTATGTGGCTTTCGTTGCTGATGAGGTAAGGGATATAAGGGGCTGTCCAGCCATAGGTCATACCATCCGATATGGCAAAAAGAGTACCTGAAAAAAAAAAAAGATTATTAAACAGGATGTCCCTTTCCTTAAAGATACTAAAATAGATGATGTTTCATAAACATTGCATACATAAATGTGGAGGTATGCATATTTGCCGAACAATGCATCTTGAGAAGAATAGGCCCCTTCAAATTGTGAGGGTTGCTGGGCTGTGTGCACGTGTATATATACCAAAGAAGGGAAGATTTGTATTTCGTGCAAGATGAACGAAATGCAAATCTTTCCTTCAAATAGGTCACCCTTAAGACGCTTTTTTCTCAATGATTCCGAAACCGATTGATGAGATTGGATTTGTTCAATTCTGACACTTCCAGAAACTCACGGAGGTTTTTAAACATCTGAGTTCACGTAACCAGTTTCGTGAAATTAACTTTTACATAACTGGTGATGAAATGTTCATTTCAAAACTAGTTTCGAAATAAAAATATGGATGAACTAAGATAGTGTACTTTGAGCAGCTTTCTTGATCCCGTTTAGGATATCTGAACTTGAATTAGGTAAGTAACTAACCCCACTAATGAGAATATCCCATACTGAACATGTCATGCTACAAAATATTGCCGAAATATCATGTGGAGGTTTCTTTCCTGATATGAAGATATAATATTGTATCAACTTGGCTGCCATATTCGCGTAAAAAATATATTAGAAAAACATACTGACAAATTGTTTGTTAGTTACAAAGTGACCATTCCATTTAAGTTTCGATAACAATATTGCATCGACTTTATATTCTGAAATTGCAACATGATAATATGAACTATGTGAAAACAATGTCAGTGCAACGGTAGGTTTTCAACTGCAATGTTGCATCAAAATTGATACTTCATTGAGTTTGTTAATAACATGCGCTCACTACGAACAATATTGCTACAACTTATGAGATACAACACATATTTGATTGTAAATTATGATGAAGCTGAAATATAGACAATGCTACATTGTGAGATGCCAACGCGCAGTTGCTATATGGCATATCAGCATCGGCAGCATCTCAGAAGCCAAATTTGTCGATGTTCGGCTTCGGGAACAGGTAGTTTGGTCTTTGGTGTTGAACAAATGGGCAAGTAATAACAATATGGATATACCTACTTTGGAATATAACTTGAAGTAGTAGAGATGTGGCGATATGTGATATATCATTATGCAGTTGGAAAGGTTTTGAATTGCAGTTTGCAGTTGCTTAGAGAAAAGTAATCAGTAATTCTAGATTAGGTTGTTAGGTATACATATTAGAACTTTATACACCGTTTGATCTAAGCGAATTGTTCGATCGACAATAAATGAATTAAAGTGATTCTATAATCATGAGTATACTTATATAGTTGTAGGACAAACATATGAATTCCTCTGGGTGTTCATTCAAAGTAGTACGAAGTGTACCTACTCCAGTTTTAGTTAACGTTTTCGAGTCTTTATATTGCCTGTTTATAAGGAGCTCTATGAAACATTGAGAATAATATGAAATCAATCTTTGGTATTATTATTTTAAACTGGAACACTTACGGAAACTGAGGTTTTGTTGAACCTCATCGTGATGAACTATAAAATATAATAATCACCACTCAAATCCTCAAAGCGTATCACTGTACTTAGCTGTAGAAAAACTTTGGGCTCGCACTCACGATTATTGGTAAAACTCAAGTATAACTGGTCATTATCACTGTTGAAGGAAAAGTGTTTATCAAAATCAGGGTAAATGTTGTATGAAATCAGTTAGGAAACGAGTCACTTTGTGTGACGGCAGGACTTCGCGGGACGAGTGAAGCAAAATCCTGAAATACACAGATTTATGTTAATATTGATGATCACATGAACTTTCAATGATGACTTTAGAATAAGGTTTGGGGGTGAAAAAATCCAATTTTGATTCATGAATGAATCTGATTCAAAAATATGATACCTGAAGGTTTTTCACGGTTAAATGGTAATTTTATCGAAAGGAAATTTTTTTCTAGAGAAAATCGTAGTTTTCCATGATGATGTATTGGCACCATAAAGACAGGTTTTCCTCAGGAATTTCGGAACGGTTCCTGATGAAATGGCAAAGACATGCAATTTTGAGTATGAAATGATACATTGATTGTCCTCGAAATTGAATTTTGAACATGATATTACGAAATGATCATTACATGGGACTGCTTTGAGACACTCATGCAACTGGGAAAGGGCAACAAAGTCACACTAATGTGGGTTCCAGAGCATGAAGGAATCAAAGGAAATGTATTTACAAATATACAAAAAAAGGTGCAGCATCTGCACTTCCTGGTCCTCTAAAGGGAGAACTCGGGAAATGGGAAGAAATTGAAAAGTCCTCCTACTGAAGAGCAACTCCAGGTCAACGACAGGCGAAAAGACTCATCAACCATTCGCAGAACCGAGCCAAAGAGCTACTCAGCCTCAGCAAACCAGAGCTAAAGCTTATCACAAGCTTCCTCACAGGACACGGCCCTCTGAGGTACCACCCCAAGAAGATGGGTCTGGCGGGGACTTTTGTAACAATGCGACCGAAACCGCGGAACACATACTTTGCTCATGTGAAGTATTAGTCCGCCAAAGGCTGAACCACCTAGAACAGGTCTATCTCACCCCTGCTGAAGTGGAAAAGTCAACCGTCAGGAAAATCGTAGACTTCATCAGAAGTGTAGGGTTAGAGGACCAAAACTAGATAGGGGTAATCACAATAGATCTTCTAGGTCGCAGTGATCGAGAGGTCTCTCAGCCTATACGACCCATCTACAATCTACAATTTACAAAATGATCGATCGAAAAATTATTCACTATTTTATTTTCGCACAGAATGCTCACAAGGCAAGAGCAGCTTCCCGTCAGACAAGCAGTGGTTGTTCATTTTATCATTCACTTTGTTAAGTGCCGGGAGCGTCACTCAGTTTAATCAAGAAGGAACTAAGAAAATGCACTATGACAAATTACTTCCTGAAAGAGAAATTAAGGTGAAACACTTTGTGAACTCTACAGAGCAAAATTCAGTATGTTTCGTGGAAAACAATTTATTTCCAAATTTCCTATTGTTATTCGACATGATACATTACGAAAATAATTTTCAGATATAACTTTTGTGGTATTAACCAACGTAGGTGATCCATAACTCACAGTGGAGGTGATATAAATCACGAGGGGTGAAAGAACTTAGTCACCACTCCACCACATGAACAATTCAATAATGACCAACCGTCCTGGACATAAGGACATGTTTCAAAGGGTCAATACTCCGTCATCAGCAAATTTATAAAAAGAGAATCTGTTAGAAGAAACAACGCTTATGTTAGTTTTCGAGTATCGATTACAAATCTAAATGTACCTACCATTATTGGTGGTGGTTAAGATACAATATTGTTCAAATATTTTGAGAAACATTGATCAAACGTTATGAAGTAACATAGATTTTATGTGATTTATGATTTATATTTACCATTATACCGGGTGACCCGGAACCAATTTACCCCCCTGTATCTTCGTTGTTATTTTGTATGGATGTTTCAAATTCGGTACTTCGATTTGATGTTATGAATGTACAATTTAGCAAGTATCAATCCAAATATGTCACTTCCGGTTTGACCGGAAGCGCATCCAATTTTTATATTTCGAATAGGAAGTATTATTTTTATTTTGAAAATTACAATTTGGTATAGAATTACTTTTACAATGACATATCACAATCATACTTTCAATTCAAAATCTGCTGGTATAATTGACATTTTATTAAAAAAATACTTTTTGTGTTCCCCTCGTAACGGAACATTTTCATGAAGGTATGCTGTGGGAGATTTAATTATTGTTGCTTAAGAGAGGGGCCACACGAGCGTTTATGCAACGCACGTTAAAACGGACGTTATTTTGGAACGCGCGACAAATCTTCCGGCCACACGAGCGTTTAGTTACGAGCGTCAGTTTGTTGAGTATACATGTGACAGTCATGGAAGGTCCGCAGGATGTTGCCGCATTTCTGATTTTATACCTAGATCTACGTAAAAAAAAGCAGGCCAGGAAAAAACGTAAATGGTGGGTTCATCCCATAAACAGTGATAGGTTCTTAAGTGGATCATTTTATACTCTCTATCCTCTCAAGCTGTAGTTTTCTTATTCCGGTCCTTGTACTCCTCATCAGAAGTATCCCAAAGCACGGGACGTTTTTGGACCTCATTTATGATCACTTCTATATCCATGTTTGATATAATGAATCAAAAACAAGTCCAAAACATACGATAACAACGTCTACGATAGTCTACGATGTCTACGATAGTCTACGATACGGACAACTCAACCGTTAGCTGTTGCCAGATCACAAAAATACTGCCAGTTTCGTATAATCGTCAGATAGACGCGCGTTAAATTGAATATCGTGTGGCTACGTATATCTGACCATGTGTTGAACAAGAACGCGCGCTGTGTCCACCAACGGGCGTACTAGAGGTGCTGAGCGTTGACAATGAATAACGCGCGACGAGTTTGAGCGCGCGTTGGTGGTGTGACCGACGCATATCACGCTGGTGTTATTCTACAACGTCCGCTACAACGCGCGTTACAACGTCCGTCATTTAAACGCTCGTGTGACCCCTCTCTTAATGATATTGTTCAATCTTCCACAGCATACTTTCATGAAAATGTTTCGTTACGAGGGAAACACAAATGAAAGTATTTTTTTTATAAAATGTCGATAATACCAGCAGATTGTGAATTGAAAGTATGATTGTGATATGTCATCGTGAAGGTAATTCTATACCGAATTGTAATTTTCAGAAAAAAATAATACTTCCTATTCGAAATATAAAAATTGGATGCGCTTCCGGTCAAACCGGAAGTGATATATTTGGATTGATCGAGAGATTGATACTTGCTAAATTGTACATTCATAACATCAAATCGAAGTACCGAATTTGAAACATCCATACAAAATAACAACGAAGATACAGGGGGGTAAATTGGTTCCGGGTCACCCGGTATAATATTACATTGTAACATTT